GAGGCGGCCGGGGCGGGCAGGGGGCTCCGCCGGGGGCTCTGCCGAGTTGCGGTGTCCCTTCCTGCTGCTTATTGCATTTCTGCTGTGCTTCTGTTGGCGTGATAGGCTGTAAGGAGGGCAGCGTTAAATGGAGAGAGGCCGCTTGTGCCGGTGCACGTAGCCTCCCCGGAGCTGGCCTGCAATGTCGGGCTTGTGTCGTGGCTAAGTTGGCTTCCCGGAGCCGGCGTGTCCCGCGTTGCCGAGCCCGGCGGTGCGGGCGGTGCGCGTTGCTACGCTTTGGAGACGGCTTTGGGTACAGGATTCGTTATCCTGGCTTTATGCCTGATTCTTTACAAACTTTCAGTAACAATGCAGCCATCCAAGCGAGGTGTGAGCCGCTAAAGGTAGCGTGTTTCGTAGGTGAGAGGACAAATACTTGCTGCAAGAGAACTGACGTTCAGCGGGGTGTCGTGCCAGGCTATCGCGACAAGGAGAGCTAAGATCAGTGACAGGAACCCCCATGGGCATGCGGCTGCAGGCCTAGAGCGCTGCTGGTCGTGTGCGGTGCCCCTCCTGCCGGGTAACAAAGCTGCGTAGAAGTTCCCACGTGGCTTCCTCAGGTTATTTTTATTTGGAGCTCATGCTGTCAAAATAAAATTTTAATGCACAATAAAGTACCTATTTCAGGAATAGAAAGGAATGCAGGGAAGGAAAAAAAAACCACCAAACAGATTTGCTGTGGTCTTCAGTTGATGAGTTAAACCTCAGTAACCAGTAAGTAAGAGGCAACTTTGAGTAGATAATAGTTTGAAGTTATATGTATGCACTCCTACGGAGTGATGAATAAGAACTTTCTAAAAATTCATTTATTTTCCTCAGTGGTAGATTCTGAGGAATGGTTTGTTTTATGGGAATGATTTGGGGAATCTTGAATAGAAATTTAGAGACCACTTAAAAAAAAAAAATTACACCAAAGTCTGTTTTTATTGTTTACACTGAATGTAAGCATACATTGTCTTTTTGTTGCCTCTTATGTTTTTATCACCTTATCTGTAGCAAGAAGAGATGTTAGTAGTATTAAAGAAAAATGATGTGTGTTATGTTGGTTATAGGGCTTAAATGGCTAGTCAGATGTGAAAGTTCAGACCAAAGCCATTCTGTTCTGTTCTGCTGCTATCATTTCTGTTTATTGTGCTAATGAATAAGTATTCCTTCCTCGACACAAGTTTATACCTCAAGAGGTAGTCAGCTGCCTTTTGAAGAGATTTATTCGTCCCATGTTTTAACATGTCTCTTCAGGTTTTTTTCTGGCTGCTTCTTTCCCCTTTCCTGTAGGCAATTTGGATTAACACTTCAAATATAAGAAGGTGAAACTTGGTAAACAGAATGACTAATATACTTCAGTTTTAGTGAATCTTTAGAAATAAAAACCTTTTAGTTTGTAAAAATCCGTCAAGCTGTTATTTTTGTCCGAGTGGGGTGAAGCTGAGTGTTTGTTGAAAAATTGAATGGCTGAGTATCTCACAGGTATCCTTGTGCTTAGGTAATCTACATACAGCTTGGCATTACTCCCTGGTGTCCCAGTCCCATGGTGGCAATTTTGCACTTTTGTTTGTGCTGTTTCAGAAGAACTTAAAATGATCTAAACATTTTCTGGAGATTACTTTCTCATTCTTGAAATTCTGTACTTTTGATGAGAATATTTGATAACCAGCTGTGGAAAAGTGTTCAAGGCCTCGAATGTTAGGGAAAGCTTTTATGAAACAATGTCTCTTAAGTTACCTATGGCCTAAGCTACCTGTGCTACAAGTTACACAACCTCCATTTTGCAGTAAAATGCTGAGTCTTTCTGTGGTAGCTATTAATCGGAATAGCCAGATCTGCTGTACTGGTTTTTAAATTCTGCAAAACTACTGTTGCAACAGGGGAACTAGGAGCTACAGATTTTACTTACCCCAGTTGAAAGCAGTGAGTAAACACCTTACATAGTCAGCAGTGGCAGGTAGATAACTTGTCTTGGCAAATGGAACGAAAGGGAACTGAAGCTAGTTGCCAAATTTTCAGAATTACCTTTAAATAACAGCAACAAAATAAAAACTAAAAAACACCCTTCTTATACTAATGAAGATTACTTTCCAGTTGTGAAATAACTGTTTTGAGTTTTTTTCTCCCTGTTCCCCCCACAAGTCTCTACATAACTAGTTCATGTGCTGCTGTTCTATTGAAAGCTTTTCTGAACTGCAGTGTCACAGAGACTGAACACATTCACTGGAGCCGTGTCATTGGTAGTAAATTTGAAAAAATTGTCTCCTTCACATTTTGTTGCTGTTTAGGGGAGTAAGCATTGATAGGCTTTATAAATAGTTTATGGATGGAGGGGAAAAGATAAAGTCCTTTTCTCAGCACTTGTCACTTCTAATGTGTACAATCTTTATATTAAGTCTCATGTTTCACAGTATGCTGAATACAAATGAGGTTCTCAGCTGGGTCTTCTATGATGCCTGGTTGTTAGGTTTTTTTGTTTGTTTGTTTGAAGCTATGTCATGTTGCCTCTTCACTCCAAAATTCAGCAGAAATCTTTCAAGACTCAAAGTGGTGGTGGTAATTAAAGGTGATAATGAGAGCTGGAAAGTTCAAGTTGTTCTTTTTTTAAAAAAAAAAAAACCTAGAGATTCACTGTATGTTTTAAACCATATTAAAAAAAATGCTGGATGAAAAAAAAACCAACCACGACACACCAAGCCTGGCATTTATAAAGATTATTACAGAAGCTACAGCTGCTGACTGGTATGAATTAAATATTGCATCACATGTAGTTTTAATAGTGTTAGTCTGCATGCTCCCTATAGTAGAGATGATAATGAGTACTTAATTGAGGTGTTTTTATCTTCATTCAGTACAAGTTATCTTATTCATATGCAATCATGTTGCAGTTTTATCATGTTTCATGTAATAATGTAGTGAACTGTGTTTTTTCAGTTTGTAAGCAACGGACAATTACCACTTGGTTGGAGAATAAAGGACCCAAGACAACTGAGTCCAAAAGGTAAAGTGTGCGGCATACATATTCAAAAGTTGTGTTCTTTGAGTGGGCCTATGGGGAACTCAAAGTGCAGGTTGCCAGGACAGCTATCCACTGAAAAAAAAGGCAGCCCCATTTCTGCTGCTTTCCTTACCTTGGCGCATCCTCTTGAGTATAGCTAACTGACAGACTTTCACTACAAAAAGCTAACTAGTCCCCCACCCCTCCCTTCTAATCCTGCCAAAACCAAATTTTTTGCTGACTTGACTTCCTGAAGCACCTCGCTGTTTTGGTGAATAAATACTGCTGCTTCTGCAAAGAAAAAGTTGGGAACTTGCAGCAAGGGAAGGCAAAGTGGGACTGCTGCATCCAGCGGCAGCCAACCACTAGATCGAGTTAGCTGTAGTATCAGACTGTGTCCTTAGTCAACAGCTCTGCTTTTATTTTTGTTTAATATAGGGCAATAACAGTTACAGGTTTTGGCTGACAGTCCTGCATTCAACTCACAGTTCTGTTGTTAATTTACAGACAAAAGTCTGTTTTGGTTCATTTCATTGGACTGTGATTGTAGTATAAGCATGTGCAACTTGATTTAATTTGGGCCAGAATTTACTGGTGCTCAAATGTGCATTCAGGTTATTTTGTGAAAGGTGTTAAAGTTTTGCTGCTGAATGGCACCAAGTGAAGTTTGATATTTTCTGCTACTGTAGTCTGTCAGGAGCAATGTTTGCAAGGCAGCGTTAAAATTAAACTTCTAAGAGTTTTAACTATCTGGTGCAGAGAAATATTGGATATTATTTTTTTCTATAATTGCAATTGTAAATGTGCTGGTTTATTTTTCATTTATGTTTGTTAATGGAAATTGAAATCCATAGCAGTGCTAAAATAGCTAGGAAAACGTGTGATAATGATTAATGCAGAAGTACGCAGGGCTCAATTGCAGGCTTATAGGTTGCAGTAAAGCAAAGATGTTAAGAGGATGCTTAAGGTGGAAACAAATACATATTTTTTTTAGGATTCCTTTTAGAGAGTTGCTTTTATATGCCCTCCTGCAGCCTTGCTGGCAGATAACAGCCTAGTCAGTTTTAAGCAGCAGGTTCGTTGTGTAGACACTTCATGTGCCTTTCTGTTGCAGTTAACATCACAATTTTAATTTATTTGAATTTGAACACTGTGTTAGATTTGATTTCTCATCTTAAGTTGACAACAAGCGTTGTCAATACCTTTAAACAGTCATTTATTGAGATGGCAGCAGTAACATAACTTTCATTTTTGTTCATAAAAATTTTCAGTGCAGGAACAAATGCATAGATGGGGAGTTAAATTATCATAACATAAAACCCTCTAAAATCCTTTTGTTTTCAAACTATCTTACTATGGATGAAGTTCCAAGCTATCATCTGTTGCTCCAAGCCTCCTCTTTTTTTTTTTTTTTCTTTTTGTTCTGTAGTGGTAAAAGTGTGAATGCTATCTCTTTATCCAGAGTGGTCATTTAGAAGAGGATCTGTTACCATTCATGGAGAGAATTAATGCCTTCAGGAATCTATTAAGATGTTCAGTTGCTGAATTTAGGATTGTGTGATAATTGCGTATTTTCCTATTTAGATGGGAAGATGGGAAACTGGGCAATGACCAGACATACAGAGTTTAGCGTGCTTACTTTGCATTGGTTATATACGGTGTTGTAACAATACATTCAGGAGAAGGTATTTTTCAGAGTGATATATTCACCAAAACTAGTCAGGGTTTTTTTAATATTCATATGGCATCTAAGTATTCTTCTTTATCAATACTCTGATACAAAAATTAGTGTGTAAGTGTGAAATGACTATCAGATGTCTTCTTGAAAAGTTTCATCTGCTCATACAAAACTTGCTTCATTTCCCTGTGTAACCGTTAGGACACATTTCTTTCTGTTCTTTGTGTAAGACAGTGCAGGACAAATTAGGTTATTTTTCTCTTTAAAAATCATAATTGATTTAATGTGTCTTTTAATTTTTATTGTCGGTTCTAAATATATTTTGCTCTTATGCTTTTGTATTGTGATTTTTTTGAAGAGTCATGGGCTGCTTATAAAAGTAAGGAAGTAATAGGATGTTTTTGAGACTATGGACTACTGTGTCCTCCTCTTTTAAAAGATGAATTTGTAGCTCTGAGGGAATGGCTACAAAACCATTGATTTCCCTGCTCACTGTGTTTAACTGATTAAAATGAAAGTTAAGGAGGACTTTATCATAGCTTAATACTATTTAGATTTGAAAATAAGGATAATGAATCACTGGAATAGATTTCTAAGGTAAGCAACCAATTCATCATCCTTTGGAGCCTTTAAATGGAAATAGACTGTTATTGAGCTACGTTACCAGAGCAGTAAAACTTGTTGATCCTGGTAGTGCTCACTTACAGAGTATAATGGGTAAAATTCTGTAGTTTTTGTTGCATGTTTATAGTAATTCTTTTAAAAAATATATATACAGAAATTTCATTTGGAGATAAGACTTTAAATTCCCTTACTTCTCTTCCACAGCTTACACAGCAAAATTAGTAACAATACTGAAGCAAATCCCAGGATGACTTCCATTAAAAAAGAGAACTTTTGTGAGCATGATGTTAAAAAGCTAGAGAATATTTGTCAGCAAAATTATTCCAAAATGTCTGCGGAAGTTGGTGCAAAGCATGTAAATTTGCCTCAGACAGGCGGCATGTATGACTGGAAGGCTGAGGACAAAGATCCGGTCTTGGACACAGAGCCTGTGAAGGTGACGCAGTCTGGAGACCTCTTTAAAAATGCCAACATCGATCAGATGCACAAAACTGGCAAGCAGACTCAGAGAGGCTGTGAAGAAAGCAGTGACAATTGGGCTCAGAGGAAGTTATCATCAGGCCGGTCTTTGAAAATGGGAAATACAAAACTTTCTTCAAAAGACACTGAGACAGATGGACAAGTGGCTTCATGCAATTCACAGAAGCTGAAGAGTTGCAATTCTGTCTGTTTAATGGGTGAACAAGAAGAAAGGGACGTAGTTCCGGAAAGTCCACTTTCAGATGCTGGTTGTGATGCTTGTGTATCTGATCTTGGAGGTCCTGGGAAACTGAGCAAATGTCAGAGCAGTTCAGGGGATTCACCTGCTTTTGAGAAAGAAAGTGAACCAGAGTCACCAATGGATGTAGATAATTCTAAAAATAGCTGTCATGGGTCAGAGGCTGATGAAGAAACGAGTCCATTTCTTGATGAGCGAGAGGAGACTAATATGTCAAAATCCATAAACAAATCTTTTAGAATTCAATATGGGGATGCTGAACTGGAGTCAAGAAAGTCACGTTTTTCTGCCAAGGGCTGTGAAAGCTTTGAGGAAATAGATAATCCTGTTAAAGAGGACGGTCTGCATACAAAGTCACCTGGGATCTCTCCTGCCCCATCATCAGAATGCAAAGGTGCAAAACAGGGTGTGAAGAGAGACTCCAAAATCACCTCTCACTTCATGAGGATACCTAAGATTGAGGAGAAAAGGTAGCGTTCTGTCTGCCTCTTCATATGTTTTTACACACTTGAAAATTTCCTCTTTGGTGATAGCACTTTGGAGGCTGGATTGTATAAGGAGTTTTGCAAAATGTATGTTAAGATACAAAGACAATTTTGATGTAAGCTTGAAGTAACTTATTTTTAATGGGACTACCTGTGCTTTTTTTTAAAGGATATGTTTGTCCAGCACAATCTTTTAAATCATTGGAGATTTGTTAAATTTGTGAATTAAAGACACTGCAGGAAGTTGATTTACTTTATCAAAGAAGTGATTTAAGACCATGGGATTTTTAATGCTTGAAAATGAATGGTGCTACAGGAGTGCTTTATGGAGTGTAGCTCTAGCATTCATTGTTTTATTTGGAATACTTGAGGAAATTGATGTGTTCTTGTTTTTTTTTTAGTTTCATCTATCAAAAATACTGAATCTATTTTGTTGAAGCATCAGTGCTACTGATGCTTTGATTGAAATAGACAGGAAAAATTTCACTTTTGAAAGCAGTTGTAGAGATATGTGCCAGTGTTTTTCGAGGTTTTTTTTTTTTTTTTTTTTTTTTTTTTTTGCTTTATTCAGAATTGGGGGGAGAGAAGGACTGGTGATCACACACTACAGCGATAGAAATGGAAGCCCTGAGCATGACCCAGGACTCCTTATGCTGGATGTTGTGTAAGGACAAAAGGATATCTGCTCTGAAGAACTTAGGTTTCAGTGGGAGCTGAGACAGTGAATAAACAGCAAAGGAGTAAGCAGAAACAAGAGGACTGTGTGTTGGTGTAATAAGCAATTATCTCAGTAGACTCAAGTCCTTAAAGTAGGGCAAAAAAGTAGTTTTGCACATCTTTACTGGGACGTCCTTTCTGGATGTTTGGAGCAGCACAAACCATACCTTTCAAGGAAATGAAGAGGAGGAGGGTGGCTAACTAGCAGCAGGAGCTTGCATCTGAGAAATCTTGAGAGATGAGTAGGCTGTGAGTGGATTTGGAAAACAAAAAAAGGTAGTTCTTAGGAAAAACGGATGGATGAAGAATTTGCTATAAAGTATGGAGAAGGGGGTCATAAAGTTTAAAATGATGGGTTCAGGGACTACTCTTTTCACTAATTTAAATGAATTGCTGTTGTAGCAAAGCAGCAGAGGTTGAGGCTTGCATTTGTCAGTGCTAAAGCATCGTGTGTTACAATAAATCTGTGTTTGAGAAGGGAAACTCATGCAAAAGTTTTGCTGTGTGGATAGATGGGAATCCTAGCAGCGCTTTACCAAATAATTAGTACAGTAGAGTATGAGGCTGTAGTGATTTTTTTTTTTTTTTTTCTTTTTGGGGCCTAAACAAGATGATGTGAAGGTTATAAACCTCAGTGCCAGACAAAATCGTGGTATTGTCTATAGTGCTTAAGAGGGCAATTAGAAAATCTTAAAGCTTTCCTCCTGGTTTTCATTAGACCAGGTCCACAGCAGATAATAGAGTGGCTCAGGTCTTAACTTGCGGAGAAAGAAGTAGTAGTGTATCAAACAGGTTTCAGTCATCAGTAATGCTGTGCCAGAATTATCCTTTGGCTCTCAGATGAGCACAGTGGGCCTGTACCCAGCGTCATGCTAATGTGGCTACACCATTTGCATGTGATCGGCCAGGTTGAAGGCATTGTCTGCACCTGAAGATACTGGCATATGCATAGATGCAGCGAACAGGTTGGACAACATCTTTATCCAAGGGTGGAGTAACTTTGCTAAGGGGAATGTAGAGGTCTAAACAGTACCTCAAAGTGTAGGCTTTTAACTTGGTTTGCATTTTACTCTGAGAACTTTCTCTTGCATGAGAAGCATCTGGTGTGTTACATGAAACATATAGCAAGTTCAGATTTTTCTTCCCCAAAATATCTCAGATCCATGCAAATAGCTTTGATCGTTAAAGAGGATTAGTTCATCTGCTCTTGCATATATTTGAGTTTTGCAAGTGTTTTTTGGATTACTTTTAAATTTCTACTTCCATTGCAAGTATTGTGTGCCTGGCATGAAAAATACAACCCTAGTGAGAAAGGGTGATTAAGTTTATCTTTTTTTTTTTCTTTTTAGTTTGAAGAAGGAATATGTGTGTCTGTGCATGCACATGTGTTTGTTTTCTAACAGTTCAGAAGGGGCTGTAGAGGGTATCCTGACAAATGCAGACCAATGAGTCTGTCTCCTGTCCCTGGATAAACAGATCCTGTTGGGAAAGAGCATGACTCTGCAGAGGAGAACCCTGTCTTGCTAACCTATTGCAGTTCTGTGAAAGTGTTTGTAAGCCATTAGAGAAGAGTGTTTTGGCAGACAAAATGTACTTGTATGTGTTGGGGAGGAGGAGGTTGTTGGTGGTGCTGATTTTCCCCAAATAAAGCTTTGGCCTGGGGCCACAGCAAAGGCTAGCAAATAAACTGACTCTGTTACCAATGTAACCCTGGAGTGGAAGTTTGTGTATTTGCCTACCAGGTTTTTCAGTGGAAATAAAATGTTCCTACATATCTTATTTTAACAGCGGAAAAGAAAAGTGTGAATTCAAACCCCAGAGGCCAGGAAGGAAGATTCCTAAATACATGCCACCTCCTCTTCCAACTAATAAGAAATGGTTTGGGACACCGATTGAAGAGATGAGAAGAACGCCTATGTGTGGGGCCCGTCTTCCTCATCTGCGACCCTCAGCCAATCATACAGTAACCGTCAGAGTACGATAATTCAGTGTATTCCCTGAAATCAAATTTCTTACTGAATTGTTCAATAATATGAAATGCCAAACATTAGTCTTACAGTATTAGCAGGTTGTGGAAATCTTTCTTTGCTGTTCCTTGTGAGCAGACTAGGGCGACTCATTTTCCTGAAAATTGACTTTTCTGGTGCATAGAATTAGGGTATTAAGATCCAGAAGAAATGTAATTATGGTTTTACTGCCTCTGGCTTGTTAGGGACAATTATTTTTCTTTTGCGTAGCTGTGTGTGTACTTTCTTGTCTGAGTTGTAAACTGTGGGAATTTAAATATGTCTGCAAGTAAAATTTGTACTTCAACATTTTCATGTTTTATATTTTCTTTTTAACATGATTCTGTTTTGGGTTCAAGATATACAAAAGGCTCAAGATATTCAAGATATGAAAAAGACAACGAAGAGGAGTTTCTAGCAATTTTACCACTGCATTTGACATCAAATCTGATATATTTGCCTTTAATCCTTTGGAGTAGTATGCAGTTAAATTATTGTTGAAATAAAACATGTGACCAGAAACCTGTAGGGTCATGGATAAATCGCAAACAAAAGAAAAGCATGTTGAGTTTAAATGCAAGTTCTGAATCAGTGCTGCCAGAAGGCCAAATAGCAGATTAAGTCTCTAAGGACATTGCATTATTTATTTTTACATTTCTGATAATCTGTGGAGTAAATTTGAAATATTGCTATATCTATAATGATTTCTCATCCTCTTCAGTGTTAGGTTAAAACATGTTATTTCTGCACATGACTATTGTTAGATTTGAAACTACATTTTGAAAATATTTGGATGAAACTATGTAGATACTTAAATTCATAAACGAGGGAGTATTTAGCTGTTAATTGGACATAAAATAATTGCATGTATTACCTTTATTTCAATGTGTTTCAAGAGGTCAAATGGTAAGGTGGTGTTCTTTTCACCAAGTATAACATAAGAGTAACAGAGTAACAGATTGATCCCCCCCCCAACTGAATATCCATCAGGGGTCAGTTTGTAACTTTCCCCTTTCCAAAATGGGTGGCTGTAGATGAGAGCTTTTTTAACTACGTGTTTGCTTACTTTTTATTTCTTCCATTTAAAAACTTTAAAGTAGAGTCTGAGCTTTTTTCTGCCCTCTTGCTGTGTTGCAGGTAGATCTTCTGAGGGAAGGAGAGGTGCCAAAACCTTTTCCAACTCACTACAAAGATTTGTGGGACAACAAACATGTTAAAATGCCCTGCTCAGAACAAAATTTATACCCTGTAGAGGATGAGGTAAGATAAAGCATTTACAGTTGTGTAATCAGATAAGTTTTTGTTTACATATAGATGAGTTTTCAGTTTACTGCATTTGCTCAGTTAGCCAAGTGAGTGTATGGAATCACTTATCAAATAGATGAACATACGTGGTCTGAAAAGCTAGATTCTAGGTCATGATGCTTCAGACAGAGCAGAAGATTTTTTTTTTTTTTTCCTAGTAGTTATTTTACCTAGCCATTGATTTGATGGTGTGTATATTTCTGTACTTATATGAAATGTAAGCTTATACTCCATATAAGTTATATATTTATATACTTACATATTTATATGTTTTATATATATATTTTTTTTTTTTTTGGTGAAGCAATTTGGGATGCCAAAAGATGTGAATGACTTTGTAACCACATTCTGATTATAATATTCTGTCAGGTATTGCTGATAGAATAAGGTGTATCTGTCTGCTGTTCTGCTAAAACAGTGGCGGAGAGATTAGAGTTGGCCCTGCATGGTTTGTTGATCTGGTATTTCTTGTCATTGCTCGAGACTTTCTTAAACATACCTGCTGAAATACTTTAGACTGTGGTGAATAAAATGAGCAAGTGTGTCCTGTGGTGAAGGCTGTATAATGATTATTGATACTTGAATCCAGAACAGGGAATTTTTATAGCCTCTAGGAAATACTCTCAGTCTCTTCCTTTATCAATTTTACAGATACAGTATAAAGTGAATTTAATTGATGTTTCAGAGATAAAGTGTTGATAAGATCTTTGTTGCCAGTTGAGCAAGACAAGTTGTCTCTGCCCTTGTGGTAGTCTCATAAGAAATATCATTATTGCTTGCAATCAGCAATAAGACTTTCTGTTGAGGAAAAATATCACAGGATGTCTTAAATTTGGGTTGACGCAAGTCAGCCACAGCAATACGCCTTTATAATCTGTGCCCTTATTGTTCTTAATATTACATTTTTGTAAAGTTGGTTCAGTTTATATTTTTGAGCTGTGGATTTTATAAACTGTGGTCATGTTTTATCTGCAAAATCCACTTTCTTCACAAGGAATGTACTGAATATTATTTGTCCTTCTTGAGATGGCATGAGGTAGAGTGCTGCATATGTGAAAAAGAGCTCTTTATGAATTTTGTCAATGCTTCAATTAAAAAGGAACTTTTCAGGAAGTAGAATGCAGTGGACTAGAAGTTGCAAAAGTACTTTACTGTTACTCAAAATATGTGGTTTATTTTTAAAGAACTTTACAAATAAAGCAAACTTTATTTTAAAAAATGTGGCAAGGAAGACAGTTATTAGTAAATATGTCCTTCTGTTTTGAATAACTTACTCTGACTTTGTTTTGGGCTTTTGTTTTAAAGAATGGAGACAGAGCTGCTGGAAGTCGATGGGAACTAATCCAAACTGCCTTACTTAACAAATTTACTTGCTCGCATGATTTGAAGGTAAGGTTGTCCATTTGAAATCAAGTCTATATACATATAAGAAAATGCAGGCTCTCTGTGTACTGTTAGTGATTCTGGCTTGGTCCTATTTGTTTAATCACTTAAAAAAATAAATTTTAAAAAAATCTTTGCTGTTTAAGGGATTCTCTAATGCATTAAGGGTCTTAATGCATCTTAAGTGTTACCACTGAATTTATTAGGTATTATTAAAATGAATTGTCTTTTATAAGTCTACACAAAGCTGTGTTTGTCCAGCGGTATCTACTAGTTTGTGGTAAATGTAGCATGTAGGCTTTTTGTAGAACCAGATGGTAGGGCGATGCACAGCTGAGAGAGTTTGAAATGATAACTCTTCGCACCAGTATACTCCACTAAAATTGCAACAATTCAAGCCGCTGACAAAAATCTGTAAATTTTGGAGACTATTGCTCTGTTGATAACTCTTACAGTTCTGATTGGCTTTTAATGAATTGTGATTTGGAGCAGCTTAGAAGTGCTATTATGGTTTTTGTGAAGAATAGTGTAATTTAGATTTTACCTGAAAGGCAGGGAAGGAGGAGGATGTAAAAGCTGCAGATAAACTTCAATAGAATGAATAGTGCTCCCCTGGGAACTAATGAAACTTCCCTTCATAATACTATTTTCTTTGGTGTTTTTTCTTGAGAATTTTTTAAAGGTGGTTGTCGTTGTAAAGGGCCTGTTTAATTTTGTTGTGGTTCTGATTCTTTAAGTTTGTAAATTGGTAAAACTTCCGCTACATTGCTGAGGCACACTTTTTTTGGTATTTTTAAAGAGAGCAAGCATTGGGTGGGGAGTGTTTACGTTGTGTGTTGTAGGCAGATCCAAGCATGCCTTATCTTGTTTTGTGCTAGAAGGAAAAACCTGTAGACTAAAGCTTATTCAATGCCAAACCTAAAATACAGGATTCAGTATCATGGAGTTGCACCATATTAATAGTCTTACGGGTTTTGGTAGGCTCTGTGACAGGCTACAGCCACTAGATGGTACTGTTACTTCATAAAGGAAATTTCATAAAATCGTTTGTCTTCTGTTAATAAGTATCTCTAAGCTTTATTTTGTTGTGCTCTTTCCCCAGGAGGCTATACTGAGATACAATGTTGCTTATTCCAAGAAATGGGACTTCACTGCTCTTACTGACTTCTGTGAGAAGGTAAACCAAGTTGATTGAAAATAGGAAGTGAAATGTACATGACTACTTTGTCTATATGTCTCAGTGCTTTTGGCTTTATTTGCCTTTTCAAGAGTAAAGGTTTTGCACTGATTATCTATGTGGACAGTTATTTGGCTGGTAACTTCAGTTGAAATGATAATTATACTTTATGATCTGGATTCATTTTAAATCCTAAGCAGGTAATTTGGGTGCTTCAGTAACAACTAAGATTACTGAAGGTAAGGTGAGAAATGCCTTTTCTCTGTTTATGATAACCAGATTTATTAATAAATTGTATTAATATTTCCAGTGTAATGGTTTCTTATTTTAAAAGGTCTTGCTCTTTTTTTCCTTTTTTAAACAACTTTAATGTAATGTTACACTGGTGTTTGTATAGGCTGTGCTTTGCTGGTTTTTGCTATATGCTGAGATGATGAATTTAAAGTGTAGAGCCTTTGAAAGATTGGAGTGTTTTTTTATGACTTCATGTTACCTTCCTGGAAGAGGATGGAAAAGAAAACTGAATAGTAAGTGGAAAATGTAGGTTGGGCTATTAATGTACATCTTGACTGACGTTCAGAAACTGTGCTAATTAAAGCAGTATGGGAGATAACAATTTCTATTGCATCTCATGTGGTATTTTTCTCCCACCAACTCAGAAGTGCTTTTAAAACGCATGTGCTTGTTTACTTGGGAGGGGCTTGCTAAGCTGTATTAAGGTTCAGTGGAAACTAAATTTGATTTGAAGTTAATTTTGTTAGTTATGTGTGTTTAAAATAGATGTCTGCTTAATTCATGTGATCAGAGAAACTGTTCTTTCTATTCCCTATTTCCATTGTGTATAGGGAGTACTATTTTACAGAATACTTTTTGTTTTGCATGCAACACAGTATTGTTATTACTGACAGAAAGTACCTATAAAAATACTGGTGGTATCGTGTTTGCTAGCCATGAGAGCTACTGTGTTTGCCCATCTTGCCAATTTAGTGCTCCCTCCTCTCGTCTGTGGGGTCTCTGTTTTTCAGGCTGTCATGGCTGGATGGTAGAGGCTGTGGACATTTGGCTTCTTTGCTCCTCTTGTACTAACCAAAATTAACTTGGCCTGTTCAACTGTTCAGTCTTGGTTTATTAAAGAATACATATTTAAATTAGTGGAATGTTTTAAAGTACAAGTGAACTATTTAAAAATCTGACTCAGGAATGTACCGGACTTGCATAGTATTGCTACCAATGCAACTGAGCTTGTCTGGATGTGTTCATATTGTGTACCTGGGAGTTTGGAAACTATGGATGATTAGATTCAGAGATCATCAGCCAGGGAGAGTAAGTAATATCAGCTGTCTCCAGAGAAGAGAGGAACAATAGGGAAATAAACTATGTATCAGGCATCAGTCTTTCACTGAGGGTGAAAAGGCAGTTTCTGTCACCTGGGAATGATGATTTATTTGTGAGGTTCCCAGATGAAGGGATGAGAGCTGTTTCAAAACATGGATTTTAGACCAAGGTGAAGAGTGCAGCAATATATTAAATAAGGAACAGTGAAGCACTGTAAGACAGTGGCTCCTTGTAGACCACAGGAGGAAAACCTTACCCTGGCTTTGTTTACTAAATATATTGAATTTGATGAACAGCAGATGTGGAGGGGATACATCTTGTAGAGCTATTAAAATCTTTTCTATTGCTAAGGGTTGTGTTAATTCTTCAAGTTCTGTAAATTAACAAGGCATCTGCTTTGAATGACTGCAGTCTGCTTAAATGAGCAGCTATTGAGTGAAAAGTTGAGATCCTCTGTGGAAATGACCTAAATATACCAGCTGTAGTGAAGTGGGGCTTTTGAAGTCACTGTATTTGGGAGTTAATTATGAAGGTCTTACCATTGGCTTGTGTATTTTGTTGTTTATCTTATGGTTTTGAGGGAACAGGGGAACTGTTTCAGGTGACGTTTGCTCAGCAGAAGTTGAGAGGGTTGGTTGAAAGGAAAGCTAGTTTGAGTAATCAGCCCAAAGGGAGGGGCAGCAGCTCAACAGAGGGAGAAATAGTCACAAATATCTATTAAAAGAAAAATATTAAAACAGATTCTATGATCCTCAAATATCTATTTATATTCTTGGGCACTATTGGCTTCCAATACCTTCTTAACCAAGAATTCTGTGGTCTGATTTAGAAGGGAGCTGGGTCCACAAATCTAATGGTGTCTATTTTAGTGATTCATTTAAGGCCAGTGTATTCAGATATTACTTCAATTGGTCTGTGCTTGATAAATTGTAAAGTACCATTTGTTATTTTATCTTCTGATTCTGGACACGGGTCACCTTATCTATTAATCTGTTAAATGCTTTCATATCAGTCTTACATTGTGTTTCCTGGTTTAGGTAGTTTCCTTCCAAGTTATGCAGTCAAAATATGCATTATTTTTAAATCCTACTTGTAAGATTCAAATCAATTTCCTTGTAATAACAATAATTACCAGTTTTTTGGACTTAAGTTTATTTTCCTTGAAGACTAAAACACTTTCAGCTTTCTTAACTAATAGGAAAGAAATATCATGTATGTGAGCCAGGATTTTTTTCTAAACCAACATACCCTGACATGTACAGGCTGACTAGTTTTACAGTTTGTCCAAAGCGTTGTCAGAAGAGGGAGCCCTCACACTATTTTCAAAAGATTCTTTTGCATACCAGTTAATGTGTGGAAGTAAAATTCCTATTTGTACAGTGAAGCAAATTTGTGAGCTTACGTTTTTTTTTTTTTGTTTCTTTTAAAAAGTTCATAGCACCCATCAGTAATATACGTAAAGCTCTTGGTAGCTTATTTGCTTCAGGCAGCTGACAGTTTTGTTGTCCTCTATGGAATTTCTACACTGTTGCATTGATTTGTTTTGCCATCTGTTTGTTAATATTGGCAAACAGGCCTAGGATTTATTCAAGTTATTACTTAGTGGATGAAAATTATTAGTGCTGACATTTTTCTTCTTACTTGCAAAATTCTTGTCACTTGGAAGTCATCCTTGCATCTGTTTTCCCAGAACTTACCTAGAAGCCAGATAGGAAAGAGTAAACAACAAGCAGTAAAGGAAACTGCTGTGGATGGAGCTGTCTTGGGACCCACAATGTGTTGTAGATGAGCTTTAGTTATGTGAATGATAATAGGTTGGGAATTTACTACATGCTTTTGATCACAGTGCTACATACTGTAGTAGTTCTTATTTTTCTTTCTTGTGGATCTGCCCTTCCACTTCCAGGCAAGACCAAATTCTTTTGCTTTTTCCCAAGTGCATGAAGTAATAAGACTAGTGAGGTCATTCAAGGCTTATATCTTAGACAAATCTCCAACAGCAGCAACTTTATTTAAAGGGAAAAGTAGGGCTTTATCATTTGTCATCTGACAGTCACATGGTCTGCTGCTTTAGATTGGGCCTTCTTGTTCTGGACATACTTTGTTTTTATTGTATTGCTTTAAAGTCTCTTAGAACTTAAGCATAATTATTGTTAATGTTGTTTCATGAACTCTTCCTCTTATTGCTTGCGTCTGCCCTGCTCTTTCAGTAATAACAGAGGAACATTTAAATCTGCAAATGACATGACATTGTATAAGCAGTGCATAACTTTCTTTAAAGGTGTTCCTTCTTTTAAATTCAGTTTTAGTTGCACAGTATACGAGAACCTAAGTCAGCAGGATTTATGTTGTGAAGCTTCAGGAACCTTTGTGATATAGAACCTCTGCTGTCGCTAAAATCTGAGCTCCTTTGAAGTGAACCAGTCAGTGAGCAGCCTCACAACTTGCTTTTGTCCTTTACAGTAGAGCTGTATCAAACTTAGTGATTTGGTCCCATCTAAAACTTGTGAGATTTAGCAGCAATGCTTAAGTTAATAACGAATCTACTGAAAAAATGTGTAAGACACTTAAAGTGACAAAAAGGAACTCTGCAGGCAATGAAACGACGATGGGCTCTTTTATTGCTCAAGTGATTTAATTTCAGTCATCTTCTAAACTCCTTTGAAACTTGGAGAAGGACTATAGCATTGACATTATTTTAGTGTCAGAAAACAAAGGAATAATGCTCATATGCTTTTCAATTCTTACTTGAAAATTATCTAAGTTATAGGCTATCCTGATATGCTTCAGTAAAAGGAAAGAATCGGATCTAGTCATCTGATTTTTAGCTACTCTTGCTGCTTTTTTGTATATGCAAAGCAGAAGGAGAGGGACTCATGTTATATATGCAGGACTGTTAGCATTTAGGATTCCCCAAATATTTGTGTTTAAAAGGTTACTTTGTGAAATAATGTCTGTATGCGATTCAGTGCTGAAAAGGATTAAATCCAGTACTTAGGCATGTCATTAAAAGACAAACTGTAATCTCTGGTGATTACTCATGTGTTGGAAATTGCAAATAGCTTAGATATAAGTTTGACTGATCTCTTCGGAAGCATAGACCGAAGATTGGAGTTTAGGTAAATTTGTGTGACATAGACAGTGATTGTCTCTGAGCTTCTGTGAGTCATCTGAAAAGTGGATCGCAATACATCTTGCAGACATTCGCATTGTATCCATAACTATTTTTATGTTTGTCTGGATTCTTTGAGCTTTATCATCTTGGTGGAAAGTTTGTGTCTGTGAAATGGAGAAGATACAATGAGAGGAGTCAGTAATGGTGTAAAAGTATGTAATAGTTTCCATGTGAGGAATGAAATAAGCTAGGATTGTTTCATCTTTTCATCTTAGTTAAGAGAGAAGTGAGGAACGGGTATAACAGTGATGTCCAAAATGAATGTAAGAGAGGGTGAAGAGGAAATGACTGTTCATTCTTCTAGTACGTCAGTTAAGGGACACCAGATGGGTGTTCCTAGCAGGTAAGGGTTTCAAAACCAGACAAAAATAATTACTTATTTAGATACTGAATAAAAGGCTGCGGAACTCCCTTGTCAGGGGATGCAGAGGATGCTATGGCTTTACAAAAGGTTTTGAAGGGATTTGGAGAAATTGCTGGTAGAAAGATC